CCCCAGCCAGCATGGCTGGCTGGGGAATTCTGGGAGTTGAAGTCCACACATCTTAAAGCCCCCAAGGTTGAGAAATGCTGTTCTAGCAGTCTTATAATTTTGCTCAGCCTACCTTAGAACAACAGTGCTCTGGAGATTGAGCAAGAGTCCCACAGCTGTATGTCTTTCCTTATGAATTGCTGTTCCAGGGAAGCTGAATCCAAAAAATACTTGTGCGGCATCTTCACTGATTCTCTCTTCTGTTCTAGTTCACGTCTCTTACTTGGACGGGAAAGGCAACCTTGAGGCCCAAGGGTCCGGTAAGAACTGCTAAACACACGTTTATACACATGCATTGAAAATATGTTTTACTCTGCATTTTTAACACTTTTAAACCACAACAGCACAGCAAGCAGGCAATTGTGGTGATGACCAAGAGAAGGGCAATTGTCTTCTTTTTACAAATTGTCTTCCTTTTTTTTTTACAATTGTCTACGAGTGATAAAAGCTGGCGGAACCTCCTGGTGGTTCCAGGGAGAGTCTTTATTTGGCAGTCGCCAACCCAGCTCTGCAAACGGGTACAAGCCTTGGGAAGAGCTGCCTTGCAGCTGCCTGGGTCTATGTCTCATTGGCTTCCAAACCAGCTAGTGTAATCAGTTCACTAGTTGCCTCCATTCAAAATCTCTGCTTCAGGATACAAAGGCGAAACACAAAGGATGGATTGTTGCTTAACATCCCCCAGCCTCCCCCAGCCATTCTCTTTGCGGGTTGTATGAAACAGGCCATCACGTTATTCTGGGGAGAGTAAGTCTGAACACAACGATTGTGATCTGTTAACTTTGTTAACCTGCGTCAGTGTATTGTGTGACTCCAGCCACTCATTATTGGCCAAGATATATCAAACTGGGATATTTCAGGCATGCAGTGAGCAATGCTTTATTGCGTGAGTGGAGAATCTGGGCCTTAATGCTTCTCACCAGCTCCACCTGTGAAGTGATGGGGGATCCTGGGAACTGTAATTCAGCAACTGGTAGAAGCTGTTGGTTTCCCACTCTACTTTATCGGCTGCTTTTTTGGGTTCCTTCATTTCAGTGCCCAGTGCCGTCTCGGTGCTGACAGATGACCTGTTGAAGTATTACCAGCATGTGACTCGAGCTGTGCTGGGGGATGACCCTCAGCTGATGAAGGTGAGTGAGGGGAAGAGGCTCAGCTGATATGAAAGGGCAGGACTGGGAGGAAAAAGAAGGGATTTGCAGACTGCAGGCCTGCAAGAACCCTCAGATGGGTCCCTGTGACTGATCCTCCCTCTACATGGCAGCCATTTTGTGAGCCCACCCATGACACATTCTCTGAGTTCTGAGAGGAGGGTTGGCCAACGCCAAAGAGTTGAAACGTTCTCCACCCTCCCTGCCTAGGTTGCCCTCCAGGACTTACAGACCAATTCGAAGATTGCGGCACTCCTGCCTTACTTTGTCTACATCGTGAGTGGGGTGAGTGGACGGGGCGTGGCCCGAGCCCTGCATCGCTTTTTGTACACTGCTCCCTCTTCCCCATTCCTGACGAAGATCGTTCACAATTCTAGTTAGTGCCACCTGCACGCTTTGAGTTTATCTTTGCACCAATGAGGGGCAGAATTTTTATTTTTTTTTTAATTTTTTTTTAGTGGGACTCTTGGGAAGTTGAATTTAGCCACATTTAACATTCTGTTTTATAGAAAATTGTAGGATGCCAGTAGAAATGACCCATTTCCATAAGGTTGGAGCGGTGGCTGCTTTCTTAGATGGCCTTCAAATGGAAAAGAGACCGTTTGTGGGAAACGAGAAAGTTAATTGGCCATGGCAGCTAAATGAACCCTTTATAAACTGCTTTTTTTCACCAATCTGTAACTTAGGGCCTCTGCAGCAGCCAAATCACTTACCAGGTTATTTGATTATTTTGTGCCCAACTCACAGAAGATCTTTTACACTAGCTAGTGTCAGGGTCAACTGTTCTGGAAGATAATTTATGCCCATGTCCCTTGGAGGCAATCAATCGGACACAGCCTCTTTCTTTGTTGCCCTTTTATTTAAATTGGTGTAAAGATTTGATTATACCCCTTTCAACAACCCAATACAGGAGAACTGATGCTGTTCTTACTCTTCCCCTCCTACAACACCCCTCAGAGATGGCACCCAGGAGAAGAGCTAAATTCCTCTTGATCACCCTTGCAGGATAGTTCAGTCTCCCTATCCCTCGCAGTCCTACAGGGCAGAATTCCAAAGCATCGTTTTATGATTTTGTCACGTTAAATAACAGTCAGTGATTGTTAACACAGCATATTCGTGTATTTATTCCATCTTCCTAGAACTAACGCTTCAGTTGCTTAACATTTTAATTAGCGTTGAATTAAAAGTCAAATACGTTCTTGCTTTATTGCTTTGTTTAAGAGTTCTAGTAATTTAGTAAATTAGTATTTTAGATTTTTTAAATGTCTTTGTTTTTATAATGGTCCATCTTTTAAGATAAATCTTCTTAAAATTGTACTAAATATTTGTCACCAGACATAATCTAACCTAGTTTTGCCAAATGTTGTGCTCACGTTCTGTCTGTAGGCTTCCTAGAAACATTTAGTTGTCCGCTGTGGGAATTTGCACCCAGGAAAACCTTAATTTTTTACTTCACAAAGATACCACCAATAAGGATTCTTTGTGTCTCAAACACCTTGGGGAACCGCACTGACTGAAGGGGGAAGATAAGGATCCTGTGCTTGAGTGTAAAGCCAAAGTTTTACCGTGGTTTATCAACTAAACCACTGTTGGATGGGTTCACCCAGTGCCTTTAGCCAGAAAGAAGACCAGCCACATTGTGGCATGAAGGGTCACCCAGCCTGTGAACCTGACCTGCCTGGAAGTGGGCACCCTGCCTACTGCTTTTAGGCGGTTGTCTTTGGCCCAACCTAGCAGGAAGGACCACTTTAAGAAGGCTGGTGGGGGCCTTGGGTGACATATTTGCCCTCTGGCCTCCTTTGCAGGTCAAATCGGTGAGCCACGACCTGGAGCAGCTGAACCGCTTGTTGCACGTGGCTAAGAGCCTCATCCAGAACCCCTACTTGTGCCTGGGGTCCTACGTCAAAAGCCTCATTGCCAGCGTCATGTACTGTGTCCTTGAACCCCTGGCAGCCTCCATCAACCCTCTAAACGATCACTGGACCCTGCGCGACTACGCGGCCCTGCTCTTGGGCCAGATCTTCTGGTAATGTCTCCTCCTCCTCCTCCTCCTCCTCCTCCTCCAAGACCATGGGCCCTTGGTGTCTCACCTACCCCTGGTCCTTAGGGACAAAAAGGAGCCTGATTTGGTGGCCAGGGGTCCCTGCCTCGGAGCCCCATGCTGGGAAGAGCTGGCCAAAACTCACAGGAGGAGAGGGGGTCCGGAGGAGAACTAAAATCAAAACTGGAATAAAATCCAATCAAATTAAAGTGAATTTTAGCAAGCAAAATATGAATTTAATTATCCTCCCACTTTGGGGGGATTTCTTGGGCCATGCCGAAGCTGTGGGGGACCACAGACTGGTATAAAGATTAAGGCTGGGGTCACACATGACGCTGAGCCTTAATTTCAAGGTGGCCTTTCATTCAATATCTCACAACTTAGGGTGGCCCAAGCTGGGTAATTCAGCCAGTGACAAATGCTATGATGTGGGTGTTGTGTGAATCCAGCCACTGGGGTTTCTAACAGTTTATCGTTTAAGGTAGAGTTTCTCAACCTTGGCAACTTGGGTGGACTTCAACTTCTAACCCTGGGAAAGGCTGGAATTGGAGTGAAGAATCTACAGCAGTGTTTCTCAACCTTGGCCACTTGAAGATGGGTGGACTTCAACTTCTAACCCTGGGAAAGGCTGGAATTGGAGTGAAGAATCTACAGCAGTGTTTTTCAAACTTTGGCCCCTCTGATGA